AAAAAAGAATTGATTACTGGAATGTTAGAACATTGTATGACTAATAAATACCTTATTTGACATTCAGAATAATTCAATAAAAATTTTTTTTAATGAAAGAAAAGAATTTAATACTAGAAGGCAGGTTGGACAAGTGAGAATGAGCTTTCAACCTAAACCTTTACTATAGGACAATTTTTTTTTGACTGGTAATGGGAAAATTGAGTCATTTTGGTGGGTGACTGGTGGGGGATGCACATTTAACAGTGCTCAGGGAACCATGAGGATATCAGAAATTGGAGCAAGGACTCATTCATGCAGTGCACGTACTTTATATATTTGAACTATCTTCAATGTCTCCATTGACACTTGTTACTGTGTTTGGCATATTGAATACTGTCACGGGTAGCTTGCCAGGCTCTCCGAGAGGGGCAGAATAATCGAAACTGGGTCAGCCAGGTTGGCCCACGTGCAAGGCAAATGCCCTTACCCGCTGTGCTGTCGCTCCAGCCCCCTGTACTATATACTCACGAAATATGAACCTAGCTTTGGAGTTGATTATTTTGTGTAAATACATAAATATTTTATGATTATTTGACTATAAATGTACAGAAGTACCATGAAAAATGTTTTACAGTTTGCGAAAAACAGCTTTTGTAGCCTAACATCCTATCTATATCCTTTCACAGAGCCTAAAAGATCTTATAGGCAGCCTAAAAAGGAAACTTTAGAAACAGTTATACAGTACTTTAAAATACTTTCCTTTTAATTTTAAATGACTCTAAGCAGATAAAGGGGCCGAGGAGATAGTATAGAGTTTAATATACTCCTTGCAAGTGGCAGACACTGTTTTGATGCCCAGCACTGCATATGGCTCCTTAGTACAGCCAGGAGTGATCCCTGAGCTTCCATAGGTGTTTCCCAACATACAAATAAAAATCTCTTCTAGGGTCTGGAGAGATAGTACAGTGTACATAGCCTTACACACAGCCAACCCAGGTTCAATCCCCTCGATCCCCACCATTTCCACCATTCCCAGTACCACCAGAACTAATTCCTGAGTGCAAAGCCTGGAGTAAGCCCTGAGCATCACTGGGTATGGCAAAAAAAAAAAAAAAAAATCACAGAATTTTTTAAAAAAAAATCCAATTTCATAAGCAGTTTTTCTCATCATGTTGCTAAACTTGACACTTTTGCATTTGTTTTATTATTTTTTTTTTGTTTTATTTATTTTTTGGGGCTTTTTTTGGGTCACTCCCAGCAATACACCGGGGTTACTCCTGACTCTGCACTCACTCAGGAATTACCCCTGGCGGTGCTCAGGGGACCATATGGGATACTGGGAATCTAACCCAGGTCGGCCGTGTGCAAGGCAAACACCCTACCCGCTGTGCTATTGCTCCAGCCCCTGCATTCGTTTTTTTTTTTTTTGCATTTGTTTTTAAAATGATTCTTTTTAACATGTAAGTTCTATTTGTACATATGTTTAATTGTTGAATGACTACTAAATTCTTCAGTAAATTTTTTTCATTGAATATGGTATCAGAAAAATTATATTTGTGTTGTAATAACTTAAGAATTTAGCATTTTCACAACTACTAAGAAGCATATTTAGCTGGTGTGATTCTTAGCGGTATAACCTTGCCTTGCATGATGAGGTCCTGGGTTCAATCCCCAGCACTGCAAACAAAAACACACCTTAAAAAAAATATACTGAGGGCCAGGATTGTGACTCAGGGATAATGCACATGCCTGGAATATGTGGGTGTTCCCCCCCATCCTCCAACAAATAAATACAAAAACTATGGCACTGATCTATGTAGCACTGTCCTCCCGTTGTTCATCAATTTTGCTCGAGCAGGCCCAGTAACGTCTCCATTGTGAGACTTGTTACTGTGTTTGGCATATCGAATACATCGTGGGTAGTTTCCCAGGCTTTGCCATGCAGGCAAGATACTCGGTAGCTTGCCGGACTCTCAGAGAGAGGTGGAGGAATCGAACCTGGGCTGACTGGGTCTGCCACATGGAAGGCAAACGCCCTACCCACTGTGCTATTGCTAAATGATAAAATGGTAAATTTTATGTATTTTTGCCTCTTTCTAAAAAGACAAATATAGCAACATTTAGGAAAATTACAGCTGTGAGATGTTGCTCAAAGTAGTCTGTTTCAGAACTAATACAGTAGGACTGTACCTATATTTATGTCTTTGAGAGTTAGCTCTTGGAGGAGTACTGCTATTTATTCAGCCATTGAGTAAGCTGATTGAATTGGATATGAACTCCACATTACTGTTGGTGCTTATTTTTTTTTTTTTGCTTTTTGGGTCACACCCAGCTATGCTTAGGGGTTACTCCTAGTTTTACACTCAGGAATTAATCCTCGGGGTACTGTGGGGACCATATGGGATGCTGGGGATCTCACCAGGTCTGCCGTGTGCAAGGCAAATGCTCTACCCGCTATACTATCCCTCCGGCCCTGTGTTTAATTTTTTTAATTGTAGATCTGTGAGATAGACCATTACAAGGCTGTTCATAATTGGGTTTCAGTCATACAATGACCCAGCACCCATCCCTCCACCAGTGTACATTTCCCACCATCCCCCAACACCCCACCCTCCACCCCCAGCCTTCCTCTATTGGAGGCACATAGTCCTTTTTGCTAAGAGTTCAATCTTACCCCTTTTTTAAAGTACTCTGTTGACTTTGAAGGTAGATACCCATTATCTGCACTGCACTGTCTTCCTGTTGTTCATTGATTTGCTTGAGCGGGCACCAGTAACATCTCCATTGTGAGACTTGTTACTGTTTTTGGCATATCTAACATGCCACGGGGAGCTTGCTGGGCTCTCCGAGAGGAATCGAACCCGGGTCAGCTGCATGCAAGGCAAATGCCCTACCCACTGTGCTATCGCTTCAGCCCACCCATTATCTAAAGACAGTAAATATTTAGGAGTTCTCTTTGGGTTTCAATCTGACTTTTCGTGTGTTGTGTATAGGATATTGCACCTGCCTTCTTTTGTGTAGATTTTCCTTTGATTTTACATTCACAAATCACAAAATCACAAATCATCCTGTTAATCGTTGATTGCCTCGAGCAGGCCCCAGTAACATCTCCTTCATCCTAGCCCTGAGATTATATTCAAGGCTCTTTAGGAGAATGAGACCCATCATTGTTACTGGTATTTGGCATATTGGGTACGACACAGGGAGTTTGCCAGACTCTGCCGGATTTTACATTAACTTCACTTTATGTCAATTCTTACTGTATTAAAAATGAAAATTTTTAAAGTTAAATGTTCTTAATTGGTAGATGAAGATCCTAAGTAAATATTTAAAATTTATTAGGCCTTTCTTGAACTCCTAGGATAATGCCAAATTATATGATTCCTTCATTTTCTTTTCCCTTTTTTGGGGGGGATGGGGGATAGGTGCCTGCAAGGGGGCATATATATAAAATGTGCTCAGCTGTGGAGCTATATCTGCAAACCTTAAACACCTTCTCTTGGTAGGATTTACCTCCTCTCCCCGTTTTTTTTTCCACCTTCAATTTCCTGTAGTGGTGGTGGTGACAGTGATATTGCTGCTTCTGCTGGTGGTGGTTTTGCTTCTAAGAGTGACGTAGAAATCACTCACTTAGCTGGCTGTGGTGCATATTTTTTAGTTGCAGTGTGCATTGAGGGCTAAACATGAAATTGTGGCACTTGGCATGTAACCTGGCTGCTTGCTGCATGAGGAATTATAGGTATTAAGGAAATAGAAATAAGGCAAAAAGAAGGAAGAAAGAAAAAGTACTTTTGATTAAATGAAATGACTGCTATACGAAGCAGATTTTCTTCCTACCTCCAATACTGAGGTATTGCTGAGGTATACTAGGGAATGTGCATTTGGCTGAGCTGCTCACATGTTTGTTATGGTTACTTTGCTCAGGGAGTCACATACAAAGTGAATTGTTCTTTTTTAGGGGGGGAGAGGCCACACCCAGTGGGGCTCAGAACTCATTTCTGGCTCTGTGTTCAGGGATCATTCCTAACAGGACTTGGAACCATATGTGATTCCAGAGATTAAACCAGCATTAGCCACATGTAAGGCAAGCTCCCTGCCTTCTGTACTATTGCTCCAACCCTATAGAGTGATGTTTTCTTATTAACTTACTACCATATAGTTCTTACTGCCTTCACTCTCTTGGGTTTCAAAAAAAATGGAATCAGCATGTATAAATTCACATCAACTTTTTTTGGTTAGGTGGGTATACCTAGATGGGTACTTCTGGCAGTGCTAGGGAACTATATGCAGTGTCTGAAGTATTTTAACAAAGTAGTTAGTATTTGGGGGCCTGATGTTTAAGGCCAGAGTTGAAGTTCTTTTTGGTCTTAAATTTAGTTTCTCTTTGCCTGATTATACCTCATCATGAGATGTGTTCAGAATTTTCTATTAAAGATTCATAGTATAGAGCTGGAAAAATAGTACAGAGTCTAGACCGTTTGCCTTGCCTGTGGCCGACCTGGGATTTCTCCTTGGCATCCTTCATGGTCCCAAGCACCATCAAGAGTAATTCCTGAGTAACCCCTGAGCATTGCTGGGTATGGTTCAAAAAAATAAATAAAAATTTATAGTATAATGTTTGGTGATTTCTGGACAGTACAGAAAAGATTTAATCACAGTAATGTCGAAAGCAGAAAATTTGCAAACCAATGACAAAAGATTAGGGAAGGAGGAACTAGAAAAGAGGCTTTTAAATAGATGAAGGTATATGATCAATAGAGATTATATTTGAAAACTTGGTTATTGTATTGGTTCAGATATAATTTTATACTATTTTCTATTTCAAAGAAAGACAGGTGTGGGCAAGTACCACTGGATACTTTGTTTCTGTTTAAAGATGTAAGCATGAATGGTTTATGGGAAAAGCTGAATAAAAGAGGGACAGATTTTGTCTTTAGGAGGAAGATACAAATTTCATTTGATTTTTTTCATTGTAATAAAATCAAATAATTACAATATTCTTTATCTTTGTTTCACAGGTTCTTTGGCATGGATAAATGTTCAGTGGAAGGATTAGAATTGACTGAACAGACTCCTGTTTTATTGGGGAGTACAGCCATGGCAGCTAGTCTCATGAATGTAGAAAATTCATTTGGTGACCAAATTAGTCCTCTGGTTAATAGGTCTAGAAATTCATCTATGGAAGATGATGAGGATGATGATGTTGTATTTATTGACTCTATACAACCTCCTTCAACTGCTCCAGTGGTAACTTATCCAAGAAACTTTGTATTATCAAAAAATGAAAAACTGCAAGGAAATTACTCCAAATTTCTTCCTTCCTCAAGAGATTTGGCTTCTCAAAAGGGTCATATGATTGAGACAATAGTCATTGATGATGAAGAGGACTTAGAAACAAATGGAGCGAATAAAAAAATTTCTTCCAGTTTTGTTGGATGGGGATTTCCCGAAACTAAAAACAGAACCAAAGATTTGGATTTCTCTACTACCAGTCTTTCAAGAAGTAAGGTAAATTCAGGAATGGGTAATAGTGTTATCACTACAGAATCGACTCTCAATTTCATATTACTAATGTTACCACCTTAGAAACAGGTTTAAGCTCTGAATGCTGGGCGAGATGTGAACTTAATGATTACACATGTAACAGTACTGTAGAGAACCAACTTGGGAGATGTCGCTAAAGGACTTCAGTCAAGTAATTTTGGTGTTAATATGCAAACATACGCCCCGTCTTTAACTTCACAGAGCAAGACTGCTGTAGGACGTTTTAATCCTGGTAGAATGAATGTGGCAGGACATGAATTTCAGAATGGAGGATTTACGACTCATCATACTCCTGGTAAGCAATAAGTGATGTTAAATATTTTTCTTTCAAACTTTTGACTTTTGTTTTTCCTTCCTAAAACAAAATAGCTATTTTATTTATAGTTTGTACCTGAAATACCTTAGTTCTCGTGATTTTCATATTAAGACAATTCTTTTACTTATAAAAGTCTCCAGTTCATTTTGTCTGTGTTTTTGATAATTGAAGCTGTGTTTATATAATTTACCTCCAGTGCCAATTGAAAGTGTACTTTTTTTTTTGGGGGGGGTCACACTGCTCAGGATGCTCAGGGGCTACTCCTGGCTTTACACTCAGGAGTTACTCCTGGTGGTGCTTAGGGGACCATATGGGATGCTGGGGATCGAACCCAGATCAGCCTCATGCAAGGCAAACACCCTACCTGGCCCTCAATGTACCTATTTTTACTAGTGTGTTTTTGTTGTTATGTTTTGGTTTTTTAATTTATTGCAGTCTGGGCAATCAAGCCCAGGGATTCTTACAGCATATGTTCTGAAATTTGAGTCACACATCCCTAACTCCTACTATGTTTATTTTATTTCTGTACTATATCTTTGTTTTGGAGCCACACAAGCTGTGCTCAGGACTTAATCTTTTTTCTGTGCTCAGGGATCACTCCTGACTTCTGTTTGGGGATCACTCTGGTTGTGCTAGGGGAATGATAAGGGATCCCAGGGATTGAACTCTGGTCTGCCACATGTAAGACAAATGCCTTACCCATTGTACATTATCTCTGAGCCAATTATTAATAACATTGCTTTATATTTTTACAGATCTCTTAAATTCTGGCTTAGTGGAAGATAGTAAAGGGTTCTAGTTTTTAACATCTATTTCACATTGAAAATGTTGGCAGAAGAACTGGAGAGATTGTATAATGATATTTAGCATCACATAAGATCCCCCAAGCACTGCTAGGAGAAGGCCCTGAGCACTGCCCAGTGTGGCCCCAAACCGAGGGGGTGGAGGAAGGAACAAACCAAAAAATCTGGAGAATTTTGGGTTGAAATAAAAAATTCTTAGGATATAAGAAAATCTGGGGCTGGAGCAATACTACAGGAGGCAGGGAACTTGCCTTGCATGAAGCCAACCTGAATTCAATCCCCAGTATCCCATATGGTATCTCAGCACTGCCAGTAGTGATCCCTGGTGTGTGTTACCCCAAAACAAAAACAAAACAAAGTAAAATTGTTACTTGGTATTATACACCTAAAAAAAGGGAAAAAATATCTGACCTTGCATAGATATGTAGTTATAGATATAAGTGTTGTTTTAATGGCCTTTTTTGAAAACTTTTCTTTCTTTCTTTCTTTCTTTCTTTCTTTCTTTCTTTCTTTCTTTCCTCTCTTTCTTTCTTTCTTTCTTTCTTTCTTTCTTTCTTTCTTTCTATACCAGAACTTTAGAGGTGTTGGTTTCTTTTTTTATTTAATTTATTTATTTATTTGCCTTTTGGGTCACACCCGGTGATACACAGGCGTTACTCCTGTCTCTGCACTCAGGAGTTACTCCTGGTGGTGCTCAGGGAAACATATAGGATGCTGTGGATTGAACCTGTGTTGGCCATGTTCAAGGCAAATGCCTTACCCATTGTGTTATTGCTGCAGTCCCTTTGTTTCTTTTTTTAAAAAACTGCAGAATAATAACAACTATGATTGTTTTGTGTTTGGGAACCACACTGTCAGTGCTCAGTGGCTACTCCTTGCCTCTGTGATCAGGGCTTCTCCTGGTTAAGGTGAGTGAGTCCTCAGGGAACTATATCTGTGCTGGGGATCAAACCTGAGTTGGCCGTGCAAAGCAAGTGCCATTACCCCCGTGTTAGTTTCTTAAAGCTTCTTAAATTGCAAAATCTATAACCATATAATGACTTTTTCATATTCTTAAAATAATATTTAAATGGATTTGTATAATTGATAACGTCCTTTGGTTGTTTAGAAAAATACTAATTCATTTGAGTTTAAAAGATCTTCCAGATTTTGGAACTTGAGCAAGTTTTCAGAGTAGAATGGTGCATGTAACTTTTCAGATTTCTGTTTCCTCTTGAAATCTCAGATATTCCTTTTGTTTAGTTTTTTTTGGGGGGGGATGGGGAGTCTATTCCCAGTGGTGCCCAGGGCTTATTCCTGGCTCTGGCTCAAAGATTGCTCCTGGCAGAGCTCAGGGAACGATATGGCTTGCCAGGGATTGAGTCTGGGTCAGCTGTGTGCAATACAAACACCTTGCCCACTGTATTGTTGCTCCAACTCCTCCCATGTCCTTTTTTTAATCCCCAGTTGTTTGTGCCACATTAGAGTGGGGTTACTCTTGGCGCTGTGTTCAGGGATCACTCCTGGCAGAACTCAGGAAACCATATGAGGTACTGGGGATTGAATTGGGATCAGCCATGTGCAAGGCAAAATCCCTGCCGATTATACTGTCTTTCCTTCCTGCCTTTTTTTTTTATAATTTTGTTTTTTTTGTTTTTCGCTTTTGGGCCAGACGTGCCTGTGTCTGGAAGGCCCTCCCAACCTCCCCTGTTCCCCTTCTTTCTTCCTCCAGGCTGTCTCTTGAGGATTTCTCTCTCTCTCTCTCTCTCTCTCTCTCTCTCTCTCTCTCTCTCTCTCTCTCTCTCTCTCTCTCACACACACACACACACACACACACACACCCCACACACACACACACACATGGGTTTACTCTCTCTTCGGGGATCATGGGATCACTCCTGGTGGTGCTTGATGGACCATGAATGGTGCCTGGGATTGAACCCAGGTTGGGTATATTCGAGGCAATGTCCTATCTGCTGTACTACCTCTCTGGCCCCTTATTTAAAATTTTTTTAACATTGCATTTTGCCGGGGGCGGGGGGGGGTGTCATATCTAGCAGAGCTAGGAGGGGGGACCATAATACTAGGGATTGAACCCTTTGTTCCTGTGTGCACTCTGCTATCCTCTTGTTGGGTTTGGGGTCAAGCCTGTGAGGTTTCTATGTTCAGAGGTGACCCCTGGTTGAGGTCAGGGTACCTTATGCTATATGGGAAATTCGAACTAGGGTTGCCAGTATCATACATTCACGCCATGCCACTGCCTTATCTCTTCTACTGTCCTGTCCTGAAATCTCTGATCTGAAAGCTCTCAGATTTTCTCATTGGGAACAAATGCTGTTCGTTTTCTTTTGCATTTTATTTTTAAATGGGCCACACCTTGTGATGCTCGGGGTTACTTCTGGCTTTGCACTTAGAATTACTCCTGGCAGTGCTGGGGGACCATATGAGATGGCAGGGTTTGAACCCTGGTTGGCCATGTGCAAGGCAAATGGCTTACCCACTGTACTATCACTCCAGCCCCCTGTTTGTTTTCTTGACATATCAAATGCTTTGGATTTATTTTAAAGAAAGTGCCCCAATCGCCAGTTTGTCACCATTCTCTGAAGACTGCCTTGCAGTTCAATAATTACTTCCCTACTTTTCCTAAAATAACTTTTGTCTTTTGATGTTAAGCTGGAATGGTTTTAGATGTGCTTACTTTCTTAATTACATGAATACATGAATTAAGCCTGCCTGCCTGCCTTCCTTTTTCTGTTTTTCTTTTTTTTTTTTTTTTTAATTTTTTTGGGTCCCTACCAGCTGTGCTTATGGGTTACTCCTCACTCTGCACTCAGAATTACTCCTGGCAGTGCCAGGGTACCATATGGGACGCCAGGGATCAAACCCAGATCTGCCACATGGAAGGGAAATGCCCTCCCTGTTGTACTGTTGCTCTGATCCCTATAAGACCCTTTTCATCAAAGACTGAAATTGTTTATTGTTGTTGTTTCATCAAGGATATCTTTTGTATAATAAATAATTGTGGACTGACCTTTATCCCAGGTCTGGGGGAGAGACTAAATCCTTGAAATTTTCCAAACAATAGAAGTGGCTTTTCTATTTGTATAAGTTTTTTTTGATCACACCTGAATTTATGCAGAGATAAAGAGACTTCTGCTGAGTGCAAATCACCTGAAGGCCAACATGTCATAAAAATGTTAGGGCTTTGAGCCAATCCAACCACAAAGGAGAGTAGAGAGGCTGGAGATTGGGTTCAGTCCTGTGCAATGAATGATTTTCTTCCTCCCTTCCTCCCTTTTTCCCTTCCTTTCTTCCCTTCTTCCCTTTTTCCCTTCCCTTCTTCCCTTCCACCCTTCTCCACCAAGTGATGTTCAGGGGTTACTCCTAGCTCTGCACTCAGGAATCATTCCTGGCAGTGCTTGGGGGACCATATGGGATGCCAGGGATTGAACCTGGGTCCACCGCATGCAGAGCAAACGCCCTACCTGATGTACTGTCGCTCTGGTCCCAATGAGTGATTTTCTGTTAATCATATCTACAAGTGAAACACTCTTTAGACAGTAAGATGTGCAGCCTCATGATTGGGGAACTTTTATTGTGCCAGGAAGCTCTGCATTTGAGACCTTCCCAGTCTCTTCATTTGGCTGACTTTTATTGGAATTCTTTCTAATAAAATCTATTTTAATAAATTATGAAGTCTGTAGAAGGTTGCAGGAGTCTCCCAGATTCATAACTAGGTCATCAGAAGTAGGGATGTTATTATTAGTGACCAGGCCTTTAAACTGGTGGAATCTGCTATTTTTTTCCCTCTCTCTTTAAATTTGTTTTATGGGCTATACTTCACGGTTTATTCCTGGTTCTGTGCTGAAGAATCATTCCTGTCAGGTCTTTAGGGTCCATATGGGTTGCCAAGGATTGAACTGAGGTTAGTTGAGTGCATGGCAAACGCCTACCCACTCTATTTTCTCTTCAGCCTGGATAATTCTATTTTTTTAATTTTAATTTTTATAACATTGTTTACATTTAATATCCAAACACCAATCCCACCACCATTGCACCTTCCCACCACCACATTTCAAATGTTTCCACCCCAAATCCCAAACTGTGCCCCCAAAGTAGAATCGAAACAATTTTGTATTACTTGGTCTAAATAATTCACTGAAAATGGTCCTACAAAGTTTCCTTAGAGGAGAGTGT